CTATAACTGTATTTAGTATGAGAATATTTTTTTCCATTTTTTCAGATCTTCTATAGAAATAAGACCTCCTTTTTTGAGTACTCAATATCCTATATAAGAAGACCTTCAACTAACCAAGACTTTTTTCCAAGTTCTCAGAATATGATGGAAGAAATATCCCATTTTTCCGTAAAAAATTCAAACATTGATTATCCCTGGGTAATTCCTTGGCAATAACATATCCCAAAGCATTTTTTAATACTGACTTTGACCTTTTCCCACTGGGTGGAAATATCTATCAAATCGAATTTCTAATAATTTATCATAGATTCTTAAATTGGAACCTCGACACTAAATCAGGGTAGCTTTCTACCGTTAAAATTTTAATTTCTCAATTTTAATTTTTTTCAAATTTTGACAATGTTTTGCTCCGAAATATTTTATCCCAAATTCTTAAATTGGAATCTCATCACTAAGTCAGGGCAGCTTTCTACCGTTAAAATTTTCAAATTATTTTTGCATTTTATTTGAGCCTAATGCCAGCATTTTTTTAACTTAGCTAGTTGCCAATCCGTCGACCATCATCGTTTGGTAATGGCTGGTATTAAAGAATGTTTTTTTTTTTTAAATGTCTGCAAAAGCTGGTTGCAAAAACCTGATTTCTATGACAAACTATGTTGCACTCACAACGAAAAAAAAAATCGAAACTTCGAAATGAGAAAAATCTGAGAAAAAACTCTAACAACATAAACAAGAAACATTGCAGAAAAAATTGCATAATATTTAAAAACCAACAACAACAAGTAGGAAAAACCCCAACCGCCTATTACCTATGGCATTTTGAGAAGAACAACAATCACTTTGCTATGGTCATGTCGTGATCCAAAACACCAGCACTACTACTGGCACCTGTCTTTGGTTTCAAGAAGGGGGGGAGGATGGAAAGAAGAGCCTAAACATTTTTTCCCTCCTGAGATTCCCATGATTTTTTTATTAATAGAGATTTGAAATTCTTTAGATTCCCATGACATTATTTTTAGAAATCTTCTTCACTTCAATTAACTTGCAACACATGTTGAACATATTACGATGCATCCTTTTGGTGGCATATTACACCCTCATGGTGTCACACAAACGCACACGGAATAAACTCTCAAAGAGATGAAAAACATGTTTATGTGTTCACATATTTTTTTTGAAGATGATTTTTTCTCATTTTACTGCACATCCTGTTTATCCACATGATGAAGCACACATACAATATGCCACACATTGGAACGGAAATAAGTGTTGAGAGCCTTGTCTGGTTTGTTGCACTCTATTTGGATCCTCAACATATTATTTTTTTCCCACAGTGTCCGTCGTGTGTTAGGAAAAGAAGTCAAAGCGATCTGAGCTGAGACACATGTGTCCTCCATGTGTCACAAAAAAAGAAGTTGAAATAAAAAAATCCGGTATTGTCTGTAGTCACTCATGCAAACACATTTTTTTGCAATAATTTTCATATTTCCATTTTTTTTCATTACCTTGCTATAAATGCTTATAATTAAGCCCCTATGGTTTGTAATTGTCCACTGAAGGTCATAACAATTTGAGAGATCTAAATGTTTAGATAATATGCTAATCCGGCTAAAGTGTGTCCGGTTTTTTCCATTTTTTTTTCAATTTGTTTCTATACAGAAATAATGCTGATTACAAAGTACAAAGGTTGGAAAATTCTAATGGCAATAAAACATAAATGGGAAAATTGTGCAAATTGGATAAAATATAATAATAAATACATTTAAAAGAAATATGAAATTAAATTCTTAATTGCAAGCAATTCAAATGGAGATTAGTTTGCTTTTAATAATTATTAAATTGAATGACGTCAATTTTTTTATTATTGTAGATTTTTTCTAACACAAATTTCCATATTATTTAAATATGATTAATTACTAGAAACCTCATACATATTATTTCCTACAGGGTCATTAAATTGCCTTAAATAAGGGATACTTTCAATTGCCATATTTTTCTTTCATTGGAGTATAACAGTTATGTTTTTTTTTGCATAAGAGAGAGAGAGAAAGAGTATGCGATTATTAAACGGTTATTTCCTTCACAACTACAAAACCAACAAATTGTGAACAATCAACCTTAAAGGGTTATCTCTCTCTCCCAGCATAAACAGAGATGATATTAATTTCCCGTTGCAAATTGGGATTATCTCTCCTACTATGTCTCTCTTTTTTTATATATCACTGATGTGAGGAGTTATTGATGAAGAGATGATGGTAGAGCTGAGTAACAAAAGAGAACCTCATTGTAATATGATTTAAAGGTGTGTAAGAGATTTTGTAGTGGCAATTATGGATATATAGCAATATAATTAAATAAATATAAAAAATATTAAATAAAAAATAATAAATATAAAAATATGAAATACCAAATAAAAAAAATAATAATTAGTAAAAAAATAATAATTAATAAAAAAAAAAAAATTGAAAAAAATAATAAAATAAATATATATACAATTTTTTCAAAATTGTAATTTCATCTATAAAAATTGTATTAAAAAAAAAACAAAATAAATGCAATTTTTATACCAAAATTTTAAATTTGTACATGGAGAAAAATTGAGGAAATCTTTTTTATTATTTTTTTTTTAGAAAAAAAATTAACTAATTGAAAAAATTTATATTTTTTTGGTAAATTTAATTATAAAAATTTTAATTTTCATATCAGTAACATTTTCATCTATAAACATTTTGCTTAATTTTTTTTTTTTTAATATTTTTTTCTTCATATAACAATATTCAAAAAATCAAAATATTCCATTATTTACTAAAACAGAATAATCAATGATGGATGAAGAATTATCGATTGGCTATTGAGAAATATGTATTTACAAATCTAACACTTCGTCATATTTAAATTGATAACAACCCACACACCAATTCTCTTCATAATATTTACTGTTACGATTTTGTAACTACGTTTTTTCCTCACAATGTGATATAATTTCTCTTATCATAATGACCTCCAGCTAGTTAGAGGTTCGCTCGATGATGGCCTAAATTTCCCAAAATAAAAACTAAATAAAAAACAACTATTTACACAGCTGTCGCTCGGGCACCCTGGAGTTAACCAAGCATTGCAATTTCCTGATTATGGAAAGTTTGGAGAAAAAAATCCACATAAAAATAAATGTGAAATATTTTAGCATGTCGAGTGCGATGAGTGCACATCACATATCAGTAGTTAAACACAAATAAAAATAACAAATAAAATATAATACTTAGTTTCGCTTGAGTTAATTTTCAATTAAAGTAAAAGTTGGCGGCTCGTTCCAACTCCTCCTACAACTACTCTTGGCTGTGGATTTTCGCCATCAATTGTTATTGTGATTATGAAGCGTAACAATAAAAGATTTTTTTATATTATTTTTAATTAGACATTATTTTCTTGCTTTTATCATTATAAACAAATTAAAAAAAAACATAGAGTCAATGCACAATGCATGGTTGAAGAAGTAGAAATTTTTGTGACTCCAGCCATTGTCCATATATGTTAATTAGACATGTGGAGAATGTGTTGTGTGTGGTGGGTGAGAGGAAGAGGGAGGGCATTGCATGTTAAAACCGGCAAAAGTAGTACAAACACACATAGATAATGAGCCTAATTAAATTTAAAATTATTATTTGTTTTATTAAATTAAAGAAAGCTGGCTACTGATACACTCGAAGAAAAAACTGGTGATTAGAAGAAATTTGGAGATATCTCTCTATCGATAGATAAAATATCAAGATCCAAATTTTCGATTTCTTAATTTTAAACAAATTAAAAAATATATTTTTAACATTTTTTTAAACCTTCACTCAGAAAAAATATGTTTAAAATTTTAAATTGAAAATTAATTCTGTCACTTATATCAATCACAATATTTCCCTATATTCCAAAACATAATTTTCATTTCACTTTTTTTTAATCATTTTTTTTTGAATATTTTTGTAATTAAACAATTTTTAGATTTTTTTGAATATTTTTAATATTAAAATATCTGGTCGACTTTTTATTATGTAAAAATTCTGATTTTTTTAATTAACATTTTTTAAAAATATTTTTTTAGTTAAAAAGATTTTAAGACTTTTTGCAGTTTTTGATTAAAAAATTTTGATTTTTTATTACAAAAATTTAGATTTTTTATTAAAAAATTAGATATTTTTTTCAATTAGATATTTTTTTTAAAAAAATAGATATTTTTTTTTTTTAAAAAATAGATATTTTTTTTAAAAAAATAGATATTTTTTTTAAAAAAAATAGATATTTTTTTTAAAAAAATTAGATTTTTTTTTTAAAAAAAATTAGATATTTTTTTTTAAATTTAGATTTTTTTCATTATATAAAACAAAAAAAATCTTTTTGTTAAAGATTTTAAAATGTTTTACAATTTATTATAAAAAATAGATATTTTATTTAAAAAATTAGATATTTTATTAAAAAAATTAGATATTTTATTAAAAAATTTAGAGTTTTTATTAAAAAAAAAAAATAGATTTTATATTAAAAAATATAGATTTTTCTTGTTTGAAAAATTTAGATTTTTTTATAAAAAAATTTAGTTTTTTTGTTAAAAAAATTTGTATGTTTTATTAAAAAAATTTGTTATTTTTAATATTAAAAATAACTGTAGATTGAAATATTTTTAATATTAAAAAATTCTAAAATTTTGGGATTTTTTGAATAGTTTTGAATATTTTTTCTTTTACTTTAAGAAAATTGAAATTGCTACATTTTAAAAATTGACATAGTGGTAAATTGTTACTAATTTTCAAAATTTTTTGTCAAAACGAATTACATCATTTCATAACAGTGAAATTCTAAATCCGGACTGTCAAGAATTCAGAATTTCCTAAAATATCTGTAACCCAATTTTCCCTACAAACATCTTCAATATTCTCCAAAATTCCCTCAAATCCAATCATTCCCTAATTTATTATTTACTTTTCAATATTAATTTTAAAAAGTGCGAAACTTACAATCTGTTCCAATTCGGTAATTGGCATATTATTGTTATTATGCGATGATGTCGAAGTGCCCGAGGCCGATGATACTGTCGATGATGTGGAACGAGAGGTAGCACAATTTGAATTTTTATTCCTTGGTGGTGTGGGTGGTGGCACCGGACTAGTCGTTGTCGTCGTCGTTGTGTTCAATGTGGAACAATCTTTGGAATTGCGATTCGGTGATAGACGTGAAGGAAAACTTAACGTTTTCGTCCACTGGGCCAGACTGCGCACCATGTTTGGTTTTTGGGTTTAAAAATTTATAGCAGTTATAAAAATAATCCAAGTTTGTTGCGGGCAATTGCAAATGAAATAATCCAATACTTTGAAATTTGTAAATATTTTTTGTTTGTTTGTCAAATTTTTTAAGTTTTCAACACAATTTTTGTTTTTTTTTTCTTTCTGATTTTTTTATATTTTTTCAAATTGATTTTCCTTTTAAAAATATTTGCATACAACAATTTCCACTTATTAGCATTTCACAAATTTTCATGTTTTTTTTTGTTTTCGTTCTAAGTTTTTTTTTGGTTTAATAATTATTTTTATTATATATAATTTATAATTATATTTTTCTCTCTGTGAGTTCAAAAAATAAACGCGTACCGTTCATGCCGCTTGTTCGTAAGCAACTGAATTTAATAAAATTGTGAAACTCCATACTTCTTAGCACTGAGCAGTAGTTGGCGGTGTGTCTTTATCATAACAACACACAGTGTTCGCTGTTGAAACAATGGAGTGTGTGTATGAGAGAGAGTGTGTGTGTGTGTCTGGCCAAAGAGAGCGAGCGGAAGAGTAGAGCAAATGCGCAAATGACTTTTGTTATGCTATTGTTTGTTGTTGTTGGTTGTGTGGGGTTTGGGTTTTCCGCTGCTTGCGAAAGATATTTGCTTTGGAATTGAAAACAACAACAACAAGAAATCATCCACCATTAACTCCTCTATCCATTTAGTTTTTGTTGTTGTTTTTGTTTGCCGTTTCTCACTGAAACGTAAATCCACCACCAACATCACTAATGAACTACTGCTGCACTTTGTATAGCAGCATATGTTAACTTTTTCTTGAGTTGTGTTTTTGTTGTTGTTGTCAAACTCCCTGTGTGGGAGAGACTGAGACAGCCTTCGATAAGAATGCATTTTTCGAAAGAGACGGAATATCTTTGTTTTGGCTTTTTTCACAACAACAATTCAAAGAATGAATCTGTTCGTTGTTTTCTTGTTTTGTTTTGAATGTGAGAGAGAGTGATGTCAATGTTGGCCACGGTGATGTCAATGCTGCTTATTGGGTTATTTTGGGGATTTATGTTGACGAAATAATAATTATGAAATGGGATAAACTAGTTTGAAAGACTACTAGAATAAAAATAATAATAATTTAAAGAAAGATTTTATTTTTGTGGAATGTAAACCAAATATTTTAGGCATCCATAGCCAAAAACATGAATTTATTACCTTATGGGGATTTTGAAGAGACTTTTAGCCGTTCAAGGGTCATCTCTTCTCAATCTGGCTTTTGAAAAACATATTTCTAAAGACCATGCATATACATTGAAGGGTATATAAGCATGATATTAAAGCGTCGATTTTTAAACTTAAGCTAAATTGGCTTTTAACAATATGATTTCAATGGTAAACAGAGTCGTACTCATTGGTCATCAGATGCTGAACCGTTGATTTTTTAAGAATTGTTTTTTTAGATTTATCTTGATTTTTTAAACATAAACAACATTTTTAATTTTTAAGAATATTTTTTAACCCCTTATTAGGGCTTGGTCACCCATTATTAGGGCTTGAAATGTTAAAAAAAAATTTTTAAGATCCAACAAAAAATGTTATTATTAAATACAAAAAAAAAAAAAAAAAGTAAAAAAGTGCCAGTCGATGTTGCCGACAAATATATACACATAAATACCACAGCCTATGGTTTTCGCAGCTCTTCGGAATTACACACAGGTTTTATTATTCACTTTATACATGGTATAAGCTTTTATCAAAGAGTTTTCAGAATTAAAGTGTTGATCAAATCGGATATTCAATACGCTTCAATTTCATTAAATTTACAAGTTTATAAAATGTTGACCCTTTTGGAGGGAGGTACCAAAGGTCCACCTTCGGACTTGATTAAGACTTTGTAAGACTGTAGCATGTTTGATTGAAATGGGATATTCTATTCTACGAATATTGAATTTATAAATATGGAAAATGTTTACCTTTTGTGGTGGAGGCACTAGAAGGATTAATCTTCGGTCATAATTTAAACTTGGTAGAGATACTGGTTTGTGCAAAGTTTGGTTCAGGTCGGGGATTCCATCCGCCTAATATTGGAGTTAAAAATCTTGAAAATGTTGACTCTTTGTGGAGGTGGTACAAGAAGGAGTGGACCCATGCGTCTCATCTTCCGACTTTATCTAGGCTTGGTACAGATAATAGGTTGTACAAAGTTTGGTTCAAAAGGGATAGTCCGTTCGTATGAAATAATAATTTTATTTTTTTGCTCAATTTTGACCATTTTGTGGGGGAGGTACCGGAAGGAGTGGACGATATTCCCCATCTTCGAACTTGAACTATGTTTGGAAAAAGTATCACGAAGTGCAAAATTTGGATGAAATCGGTCACTCACTTTGAGAGTTATCGTGAGCACCTGCCGGCCAACGTGTCAGCACAATTTCGTGGGGCTATGTCGTAATACCGGCCTATACTGAAAAAAAAATCCAGAACCCGGAATGCTACTGATATAAAAAACTGATATGATAAGAAACCCACTGACAGTAGCAACACGTAATGCGAGAGAGAATTATCAGGAGAACGAAGTCCGGAAATTTAACCATCGAGTAAAACACCAAACCGAAAGCTTTGGTGCAGGCATATCCTCCTCCTGTATAGATGAAGAAGGAAACCTGGTGACAGATGCAGACAGCGTGTTGAGGATCTGAGAGGAGCATTTTGAAAAGACTTTAGTATCAAATAGTGGCGGTGAAGAATATACCCCACAACTAATAATAGATGACGGTATAGAGTGTATACCACCTTGCCAAGATAAGATGAGAATAGCAATTAATCGGCTGAAGAACAATAAAACAACAGGATCCGATGGGTTACCAGCCGAACTATTCAAGACTGGTGGTCAGATGCTGGTCAGGAGCATGCTCTAGCTGATTAGTACAATTTGGCTAGATGAATGCTTGCCCAATGATTGGAACCTCAAAAGAAGCAAAAAGAAGAAGATAATATGGGCCAAATATAGAGGAAAAAATCTCCTTCTCAACACATATAAAGTGTTATCCAGTGTGCTGTGTGAACGACTGAAGCCAATGGTATTATTGGTCCACACCAATGCGGCCTGGCAAATTCACCATTGACCAGATTTTCAGTCTTCGCCAAATCCTGGAAAAGACCCACGAAAAACACATCGACACATTCCACCCATTCGTCGACTATAAAGCCGCATCCATTCAGAGGAGTTTAAAGCCATGTCTGCGTTCGGCATTTCTGAAAAATTAATACAGCTCTGCAGGATAACTTGAACTGACAAAAGGCAGTTAAAGTCGGAAAGGACTAGGATTCAGACGAGGCCTACACCGATGACATAAATATAATGGTCGAATAGCCACCTTTGAACGAATTGAGAAGGAGTCTGCCGAAGAAGAATAGTGTTGACACAGATGCTACTATGTACTAAGTAGACTATGTATAGACAATGTGTCTAAGTAAGCAGTTTAGAAACAAGGCCACCTCCCGTCAGACCAAACTCACACTCTACAAAACACTAATATTACCCGTGCTGTTATATGGATCTGTAGCATGGGTACTGGCGCAAGCATCTCTTGTTGACCACAACTGGAAGGCAGCTCTTGCTGACCACAACTGGAATCTCATGGAAAATTTCAAAGCGATCACCGCTATATTTCCGCCCTCTAGTGTGGTAATGGGTTACTACATAATATCTCAGTACGTAAGCACCTGTAGATATTAAGTGTATTTCTTTTACGACAATATAATTAGTATCAATTTAAAAATCAACCACTCCTCTTGGATATACTATCAACTTCTCGGCTCTATGTCTTTCAGGAGTAAATATAAACGCTATAGAATACAATTTACAAAAATCATCGTCTATGTCCCCATCCATTTAAAATTTCCATTCAAAGTGTTAAAAACGCTAATTTGAAGCCCATCCACCAATGTTGACATCACTTTTACTCACTCATTTCGTGTTGAGAACAATAGCGACAGAGAGGGAGAGTTCATACGCCAAAAAAGAGAAACTTCATTTAGGAATTCAAAAGAGTATCTGTGTGTGTGAGTGTTTCATAAAAACGAATTCGATAAAAATGGCCTAAATTAAATTTTGGAAAATAAAATAAAAATAAAAAACATAACAGCTGTTGTTTGGCATTTAAGCCAAATAACCTACATATAGACAGACATCAGTGCATACAGCCATTCATCCATACATAAATACCATGGTTAACAAAGTGATGTGTGTTCGCTCGTTCATTAATGGGATTTGATAACGAATGACTGGCCATATTTAATTATCCTGTAGGACAAGATAGGAAATTTCTATATTTAAAAGAGACACGGGTGATCATGAACTGATCCTTGTTTTTTTGGGCAAGGTTTTGGAGAACACATTTCATTTTTCGTTTTGTTGTAGAAAATGGTATTTTAATGAGGAAGAAAGACAGCCGACATATGTTTTAACAGTCAGTCTCTGGATCTTGTGGTCTGTGTCTTTTTGGTTTGACTTGTCAAAAATCCATCTACCCAAATGTCTTGACACGACTGACTGTTTTAAATTATAACTTGAACTTGTATGACCAAACCGAACCAAACTAAAACCACATTCCAAACAACCTACTTTTGTATTTCTGTTTTTGTTTTTTTTTTTTGTTACACAGCCAATTTGCAAAATGAAAAGTAAAATATATTTCGTTTTATTACATCCTACAGCTTCTTAAGGCATCCGGTATCCAACAGTTGTTGTCCATCAAGCTGACAAATATAATTTTTTTTGCGCTTAGTCTGGTTTTTAATTTTCTGTTTAGTTTTATTTTTTATTTCGGTTTATGTTGGTGGCTCTGTGTGAATGTCAGTCAGTGTGTGTGTTTGAGGAAAAAGCATCTGCCTTTTTTGGCTTGAATCTACATGAAACATACCACACACAAAAAATCCGGCTTAAAACGGCCTTGTGAAGGTTGACTGCACACAGTGTCAACATCATCATTCGGAGCAGCAGCAGCAGCAACACCA